GGTTATTTCAAAATTATTAATTTATCGACAAATACATGGCAAGTTATTTCAGGTAAAGACCTATATGAAGTTAAATGTTTGGTGATGTGATTTGTGTGGACTTCCAAACACAAGCTCAAGGTCAGCCTGACCATTTATCCGAAAAATATCATTTGAATGACAAAGAATGACAGATGAGAAAGCGGTGTGCAGGATGTGTTATAAACAGAAAATCAGCAAGAATACCTCATATATTTGCCCTGCTTGTGCCGGTCAAGCAAAACTTTGTTACGGTAATTGTTTTCGGATATAGGAACCATAATAAAAAAATTAATTCTTTTGGTTTGCTCTTGGCATTTTTTATACATTTTTTTTGTTTTTATGTATTTTTAATTCCTTTTCCTAAACAGAATTGCTTATATTATTATATTTATTTTCTTCTTTTTAGAAATTTTAGTTTTCTTTGTTTATTTGTAAAAAATGCTAATTAATAATAAATAAAGATGGGGGCATGCATCTAGTGTTTATTTTTCATCGTATAGGTAATTCTTATGTCTGACTTAAGTGTTGAGGCATCGGCCTTTTACCGAGAAAATAGTCGTCAGAGGCCGGAGACTCAATACTTGAGTCACAGTAGTTTCAGGTAGTTTCAGGTATAAGGATTAACTAAAAATATTTATAATAATAAACGCATAACTAAGGAATAATTTTTTATAAGTTTGCACAAACAATAAGCCCGGATATTCGAGAAGGTCCTAAGACTGGTAAAATGACCCCTGGTGTTATCCCTAAGGATAACGTTATTTGGTATCAGATGTGTATGGACTTGATTGCTGTAGGAGATGGACCCACAAGAGCTGTAGCCTAATGGAAAAAGGTATGTAATAATTTCTTGAAATACATACAAAAATATTACAATTTTTACTTTGTAGGTATTTCGAGAATGCCGTGAGAAAAAAGCCAGAACAAATAAGGCCCTATCAAAGTTAGAAGAACTCATCAATGAGACGGGGAATGTCGTGAGTTTTTTAAATGAGTTAGGTTATTTTCGAGTAATCGATCATTTTAGATTATTTGGATAATTGATTAATCGATTATTTTCCAAATTAACTAAAGGGTTCAACGAGTTCAAAGAATGTGATGATAAGAAAGCGTACAAAAATTTTCTTAGAATGAATGAACCGACATTTACCAAACTGCTAGGTAAAATTGAACACAGAATAGTGTCTCCTAAAGACAAATTATTTATTACATTAAGGTATCTTGCAACTGGAGAAAGTTTTATGTCTTTACAATATAATTATAGTTTCTAATAGTGCAATTTCACACTTTATCCCTGTAGTATGCAAAACCATTTATGAAGAATTAAAAGGTGAATACTTAAAAGTAAGTATTTCTTCAGCAAGCCAAAATATATCAAAACAAGCTAGTTATTTAAGGTACCTTCAACTGTTGCAGATTGGTTGGAAATTTCAAAAAAATATGATAAATTATGGCCAATTGTTTGGGTTTAATGGATGGTAAACATATTTTTATTAAGGCTCAACAAAAGGAATGTTCATTTTATTTTAATTATAAGGAACAACACAGCACTTAACTGCTACAATTTTATATGCATAAATGTTGATAATAATGGTAGAATATCAAATGGAGGGTTTTTTCGAGAGAGTGACTTAAGTAAAGTTATCGAAAGGAACACCTCACATTTTCCTGCAGATAGTTCACCTCCAAAGAGAACTGATGATATTCCATTTGTCATAGCAGCCAATGCAGCATTCCCTTTATCAAGTCATATCCTAAAAACATCCTTTAACAAAACTTACCAAGGAGCAAAGGAATTTTAATTATAGATTATGTCGAGACCGAAGAGTTGTAGAAAATGCTTCTGGAATACTAGCAAATCGTTTTAGAGTGCTACTTAATGTGAATGCCTTATCTCCAGAAAAGGTCACACTTGTTACTAACTCTGTACACTCCATAATTTTTTAAGAACAATTAAAAACCGGCTATACTGGAGTGGATCCTGAGTCACAAATTGACAAAGGTTATACTTTTTTGTCTAGCTTGAGTGCACAGCAGGTAACCGACCAAAAGGAACTGCAATTAAAATAAGAGAAGAATTTAAGACTTATTTTAATAGTGTTGGAAGAGTATCCTGGCAAGATAACATGATATAAGTCAATTTAAAATAATTTAAGTTTCCACAAAATAGTTATTAGAATAACATCATTAAACTACTAGTTTTGGCCACTCCCTACTGGAGGGCAGTATCTCTAAAAAGTAAAATTGTTTTTTAAATTTAAATCGTTTATCTTTACTTGTTCAGTTCCAGTCTCCATTTTGCGTTTTAGACATTAAAAACTTTAGCAAACTCCATTTAACTTTGTATCGATATTTTATCATGTGACGTTTTAATTTTAATGTTTTTAACCCTTGACAAATACCAATGCCTTTTTTTTAATAATAAATGTTCAGTTCGTTTCGATTCCTTCAAAAATTGTAATCCAGTAATTTTATCCCTAGTGGGTAAGAGATTATGGTGAGTTTTTTGTGTTTTTATTATATTATGTAGTAATTTCTTTATCTTTTACCATTTTGGTGTTGATTGTTCCAACATATTTTTTTCAAAATTCGTTAGAAATTTCTTTAATTTTTTCACCTTTTTACATATTTATAATTTTTTTCATTCAGTTAGTAGGGGAGACCGGGGCTTATTGTAACAAGGGTAAAAAGTAACGGCTCCACAGATGGGACAAAGACAGACATAGGTATGTGTAAAAAGAAGAAAGAATTACTCGCGCGGCTGGCTTCCGCCTGCGTTGGTTTTAGTCGAGGTCCAGCAGTTGATAAGAGTGTTGTGTGTACGTGGTAATCAAAATTACAGGTTTTGTCGTATTTTTGGGATAGCTTGTAATGAAGTAATTTTTCATTATTATTTTTCTTATTCAATTGCCGAACTAGTATTCTTAATAATGATTTTAAATCTAACTTTCATTAGAATCCGGCATATAAATTTATTAAAATTAATTATTCGTTACTATTTTAATTTATAAATCAACTTTTTGGCTTCACCCTGTATCTATTATTTTGAAATATATAACAATCCGAAAATCCATAGTACTTTCACAATATAGCAATGGTTTTCAAAAGTCATTTTAAACCAGGATTTTGAATTTACATTATAGAAAATTGTAGATTTGGGAATTTATCATTTTTAATATTTTAAACGAGAACGAATGTCCGCACCCAGCACCGTATCCCTTCTCGAATACCTTCTCCCTCTTAAGATGATCGTGGGCGGGCCATTGGTAAATATTTTTCGAGTCCAGATCAGATCAAGAACAGTGAGAGAGAAATTTTTAATTCCATTCCGAGCGATCGAAAGAATCAGTCGATAAGTGTAATACCGGCGCCGCGAGCTAAAACCGTTTGTTTACCGCAGTTAATACAAAAAACCCGTTTTTATTTTTTGCCGTAGCATCGAGTTTAGATAGGAAATAAAACCAAATTAAATTAGGTAGATTTAAACACCGTTTGAGATTCACATTTTAACACGTAATTAATTTTGTTTGAAATTTAATAATTAAATTAACAGTCGAAGAATATTTTCTTATTTGGATATTGGCCGTGTTTATTTTTTTTTTATTATCGTCTTCGAACGGTGAGGACTGTTTCAGATATAAATCGACTTTGTAATTTTTTATTTAGATAGACTTTTAAAAAATAGATTTGTTGAATTCCTAACCGTGGGAAATACGGGAACTGAATATTGTTCTTTTTTTTTTATTGGTTTAGTTTGACTGTCCGGGATTTTGGTGTACCGAAGGGGAGGGTATCATTTCCTGTTTTGAATATAAAATCTCCGTTCCTTTATTTTTCCGTCCTGGCTATTCCCAAATAACTCAGAGAGGGCTTAAAGTTCCCTGTGTTATTTTCCTTCCTAGTTATCCGCAATTAACTCAGTGAGGGCTTAAAATTCCCTGTGTTAGTTTTCTTTTCTGTCTATAAAGTTCCCTGTGTTATTTTCCTTCCTAGATATCCCTATCCGACCTGGGGTTATAATAATAAATAATAATAAGAGGTAGTGGGGGTTTGATTCAGCGTAGCTTGCTCGTTGGCTTCAGGGGTTTTAAAAAGAAACAAACATTTAGAAAGATTTCAAGTGGTCCTCACGAGTTACAGAAGTGCCGCAGTTTAAATTTTTAAAATTCATACTATCCTTGATTTAAATTTTTATTTTTCTTTGTGATTTAAGAAAATTACCGTAAATTTTGAATTTTTAAAATTCATACTATCCTTGATTTAAATTTTGATTTTTCTTTGTGATTTAAGAAAATTAACGTAAATTTTGGAATTTTTAAAATTAATACTATCCTTGATCAAAATTTTGATTTGCTTTGCGATTCAAGCAATTGCCGTAAATTTAAATTGTTGAATCCGTATTATCCATGACTTACATTTAGATTTTTTTGTTACGATTTGAGAGTAATTGCCGTAAATTTAAAACTCCTACTATCCGAGATTTAAATTTTGACTTTAGTCTGAGATTTCCGAATACAATTTTATACGCGGCCCCTTCACCGTATCCAATTTAAGCAGTATGATTGAGAATACCTGCCAACTATATCAGCCGATCGTTCCAGTTTTGTTTTGCTTTATTTTTTTTTGTTCAGGGTTTCATAACCGAGTGTGGGCGTTGGAATATATTATTTTTATTTTTTTAACTGTAAATAGTTAAACCAATATATGTATCAACATTATCTTGACTATTACTGAGCTTACTAATCCCCAATTTACTTCCCCCTTACTTTTCAGCAGTGAGAAATTCTTTACAACCACAAGTAATGATTAAAGACCATTACTTGTGACTACTAATTACCTGAGTCTAAGTGACCTTTGACCCCTGGAATTTTTCATCTCCATCTGTGCTGCCCGAGTACTTTCGACGCCGTTTCGAGAGTTTGTGGAGTAAACCATAACCAAAAGTCTGGTGCTCGAGAGCCGCCCGTAACCAGCGCCATTCGTAAGGAAACGTTTTCTCTGTGGCGAGAAAACCCCTTACACAATAAAGAAAATTGGGCAGTTAATAAAAGGAAGTTATTATGTGACAAAGGAAAAGATTATATTACTAAAACAGGAGAAGCAAAAATTGGTAAAACCTTCGAAAATATTGACTATAGGTGCCCTAAAAAGTGTTTTACGGTATTTACAGAATGTAAAAGACAAGGAATGTTTGAATCATTCTGGAATTTAGAAGACTTTAATCTGCAAAATTATTATCTTTACGCATTGGTGAAAAAAACGACAGTTAAGAGAAAACGCCTCAAAGATCAGTCACATGCAAGAAAAAACGTATATTTTAACTATTTTGTATGTAAGAAATATTTTTTAAAGACATTCCAAATTAGTGATGGAATATTATATCGATGCTTGTCAAAAAGCGATGTTTCTCATTCTAAGGATAAACAAGGTACCACTAGTTCTGGGAAACTTGATGGTTCTGACATCATAGCTCACATCCAAAGTTTTCCAGCGTATTAAAGTCATAACACCCAAAAAAGATTTTAAAACCTAGGTAAACTATCCGAAAGATGTATGATCTCTATAAAGAAAAATGTGAGACTAAAATGACTGAACCTAAAAAACATACTATAGTAAAGTTTTCAACACCAAGTTCAATCTGCATTTAAAATCACCGCGACAGGATACATGCAAGGCTTGTGGCAGCTTGAATGGGGGGTTTAGCGAAAACTATTTGTAGGTGGCAGCAACACCGTAAACACTCTATAAAATTTGATAGTTGACATTTTATATGATTATATCATTGTTTATAATTTTTTTGGTGAATGTCGTGTTGATTTTAAATAAAATGAGTTATAGTAGTTGGAAATTAAAGTCTTTGAAAGATGAATTAAATCGCCGAAGAGCAATTATGCGGGGGGAAAAGGCTGAACTAATTGAGAGGTGTGTATGAAATAATGATCACAATTTTTTGTGTTCTGTAGGTTATATTTCGATTTACACAAAAAAAATAAAATAGTCTATTTCAGATTGGAAGCTTACGATCGAAACTTTAATTTTGAATTTGTGGCAGTAGACAATAAAAATGCTGCACCAAAAATGTATTTACTACCTCCAGAAACTTTTAAAGATGTGCACTGTGAAATAAAGTTGGACATTGACATTTCAAAGACACCAGTAGAAACTTACAGTCTTTTCATCAAAATATAACGGAGAAATCCGCGCAGTGTTCCAGAGTAAGTTTGTGCAATATTTAAAATTTAGTGCTACATGTAGCGGCGTGTTTTTTAACACTTCAGTCAAAGCTGTTATGAAAAAAATCCTTTATCCTGTAGATATTTTTATCACTACTAATAATAGTATTGAACAATGTCAGTGTGAATGTGCTGCACAAGGTAAACAAGCACACTGTAATCATATAACTGCAGTATTATTAATAGTAGCAATGTTTTGTGAAAGAAAAGTGTTATGGATTGAAGAAGCATGGACAACACAGTTGCAAACTTTTCATCAACCCGAAACTAAATTTAATCGTTCTCCGATTAAAGCCAGTCCTAGGTAACTCAAACAATAATTTTGACCCCGCGCTGAACATAGTGAGAGGTACAAAGAGTATTTTAGAAATGTATGTATTAACTTTGGTGCTCACACGATGCCCATACTTCAGCTATATGAACCAGCAAATCAATATGGCATAGAAAATGACCACAATTACACAAAAAGTGATGTAGTCGCCAATTTGTTTCAGAGTATGGGGCGAAATTAAAAATAAAAGTAAGTTGTGGCATTATGAACGCTCTTTTAGAATAACATCTACTGCCTTTAAAGATGTCTCTTGTGCTACAGAGAGGCGTAATATGAAAGCTTTGACAAATGCTATTATAAATAATTATAATCAGACCTTTTCATCGACAGCAACCAGCCATGGAATTATTTATGAAGAAAATTCAAAGAAATTGTATGAAAATTTAAATCACTGTCAAATTCAAGAGTGTGGTCTATTTTTGGTTGCTGGATTTCCATTTTTGGCTGCATCACCAGATGGTTTGATTGGCGATGATACGGTATTACAAATTAAATTCCCATACAATGCCAAAAATAAAGAATTTCCTCAACGACTGTGCCCTACCTTGAAATTGAAGAAGGAATATTAAATTTGAAACAGAACCATTTCTATTTTCAAATTATGGGTCAATTATTAGCAACCGACAGAAACTATTGTGATGTAATGATATATACATTATCTGATCGTGTTATTATTAAAATAGTAAGAAATTATCAATTTATTAACAGTATATTAATTAAGTTGCTAAGCTTTTATGATGCCCATTTTTATAGTGCAATAAAACATAAATATTATTATAAAGAATATAAAAGGTAGTATTATGAATAAATAAACAAAATGATTTATAAAGATAAGTACTTTTGTAAGAAATAAATAATTTTTTATAATCAGTTATCAATGTTCATTATTCCACTCCTAAAATTGTTCAACATAGTGTCAATTTTACGATCATTTAAAACCACCAACCGTGGTAATTATGATTTACCTCGTAAAAATGATGGAGCATTCCCTTATTTCATTTTTTCCGACACATTGCTTATAAAAAGTAAGAAAAAAAATGTAATTGTATTTGTAATTGAAAAAGCTTTCAAATAAAAATTAATCAACCTACCCTTCTATTTAAAAAAAAAGTTGGGTGACCCTCTAGATAATTAAAAAGATAAACAAATCTCTTTGTAATATCCAGTAGCTCCAAATTGCTCATTCAACCCCCCAAAAATTAATGAGGAACTTTTGGGATATTTATCGGAAGTATACAAAATGGGACAATTTCTATAAAAAATACAAAAAAGAGTAGAAACAGCACCTTATCAAAAATAGCAGACAATTTCATTTAAAATATTTCAAACTGTTCGCGGGAGGAAAGTTTGCCTTTAATCATGGGCACGGGAAAAATATTGGCAGAATTTAAAATAGTTAAATTTCATCAGCCTCAATCTTCAAGAATAATTAAAAAACACAAAGAAAACGGAAAAAGATAAGCGTCCAACCTACATCTCTTACCCGAAGAAAATTAATAGCCACGGGGAAAAGAAGGCAGATAGTTAAATAGAATCCCTCACAATTTGAAAAAAAAATAAATATGTTAATTTAAATGTCAGCTTAGGTGATAAGTTTTTTTTTAATTATTAAAAATTAATAATTTGATAAAATAATGAAGGTTTATTAAAGTGTATTCGTTGAAGCGATTTCAGAAAATTTTGATCTTGATTCATCTGAAATGTCAACGCAGAGGAGACCTCAGTAGTCATTCAAAGCTCACTTGAGATGCAGGAAAAAATGTCATCTAATTTATCTGAAAAATTGTTTTTATCGAATACTACATCAACATCTGAAGTTTATAGCTCAACTAGTGAAACTTTCACTCCACAAGATATTCACTTTGAACGTCTAAATACTGTTTCAAAAACATTAAATTTATCTCTGATTAAAAAAAAAAAGATTTAGATCGATCGAAAACTTATGCTTGGAAGAAATTACATGACATGAAATCTAAGATACAATCATGCTTTGAACATGTAACAGATGTTTTCGATTCAGCTAAAGATAGTAAATCGACGATTGACGATGATCCAGAACTAACTGGAAGAGAAATAGTAGAAGAATTAAAAAATTAATTTGATAATACTAGTAAATGGAGTGAAAAATTACAAATTTTATCTGTTCTTCCATCAAGTTGGTCGATAGAAAAAATTGTAAATACCTATGGAGCATCTTATTACATGGTAAGAAAAGTGAAACAGAAAGTAAAACAAGATGGTATTCTGTTTATTCCTGATTCCAATAAAGGTCATCCACTATTGAAGACTACAGAAGAAAGAGTCCAAGAATTTTTCAGAAGTCAAGATATCAGTAGAGAATTACCTGACAAAAAAGATTATAAATCTGTGTTGTGAGAATGGTCAACGTGTACAGAAACAAAAACGTTTAATTTTAGGTAACCTTACCGAAATTTATCAACTGTTTCGAGAAAAGTACCCATTTGAAAAGATAGGTTTCTCAAAATTTACTAGTTTAAGACCGGCTGAATGTGTTCTTGCTGGTGCATCAGGCATTCACGTTGTTTGTGTTTGTCTTATTCATGAAAATTTTAAACTTTTATTTCACAATGCGAAACTTGATAAATTAAAACTTCGAGATGATAGTCAACCATTATCGTCCTATCGAGACTGTATGAAAATGGTTATATGCCAAGAACCTACAGAAAATGGTTATATGCCAAGAACCTACAGAAAACTGTTATTTCGGTACCTGTACTCATTGTCCAGGCTCAATAAAATTAAGAAGTATTTTGGAAAATATTTTCACGGATAATTTTTTGGATGAAATTAAATGTAATCAGTGGACTCAAGTTGATAGATGTTCTTTGGAGGCGATCATTAAATCAACTGACGATTATGTTGATTTTTTTATAGAATCAATTCCAAAAGTACTGCAACATGATTTTATTGCCAAACAACAAGCTGAATATTTCAAAACCGTAAAAAGTAATCTTGGAGTTGGACAAGTGCTTGTGGTTGCTGATTTTTCTGAAAACTATTCGTTGTTGCTACAAAATAGTGTTCAAGGAGTATATTGGAATAATACACAAGCAACAATTCAACCTTCTGCTTGTTATTATAAATCTATTGATGGGAATGAGAGCAAATAATACCTCTTAGTTTGATAATAGTTTCGGATAACTTAACGCATAACACTACTGCCGTTTACAGTTTTCAAGAGGAATTAACATCGTTTCTTAAAATTAAGGTTCCCAATATTCCAAAAATTATTTATTTTTCGGATGGTGCCGCATCTCAATATAAGAACCGGTACAATTTAGTTAACTTTCTCCACCATGAAGAAGAATTTAAAATATCAGCCGAATGGAGTAGTATATTCTAGTAGGCTGTGCGGTGCAAATGTGCAAGATGGCGGTCGGTGACTGCACATCTGGCGCCCACCTGTTTCCGGCCACCTGCATCCGGTCTGGACAAGTCTAGACAAGTGGGGGCAACTATATATAAACAGTATAAACGGTGCTTAGGTTTATCATCATAAAGTTGAAGCAGCAATAGTAGGCAATATGAGCTATCGGTGCGTTACTCCAGAAATAGTGATTCAAAAGACACTAAATGAATTAAAAATTATATATGTATAAAACATCTTCCCTTCAAGAATTTTCAGCAAACGCGCTATATTGGAGTGTTGAGGACAGAAATCCAGAAATGATTGGAATAAGTGATTAAAAATTTGTGATACCCCATTTTATAAAGGACCATTTAAAAAATGTGTATGCTATAATGCAATTAAAGAGACAGATTAATAAAAATGAGTGAATTGGACTAAAAGAAATCATGAATTGTACAATATATTTCGTGCCGCGAAAAAAGTAGGATGTAGAAACAATATATATTTTTATCCTGCTATGTGAGAACGAAAAATTTATTCATTTAATTGCGATATAAAAAATATATAAGCGCACATGAAAAACAGAAAATAATATTTACATCCTGCTACATGTATTCATGTAATTTTAAAATAAGAATAAAAGTACACATATGTACACATATGCCTGAGAAACCAAGGAATTTAGAATTGGCGTTCAAGAAAAAAATCGCGACAAGCAAAAACTAACTAAACGCTCATTTTAATTGCGTCTTGTGTATCAATATAAAAAATTATGGTAACATCCTCTGTGAACTATTTTATCCGCCAGAAACTGGAAAATCCACAAAGTAAAACCTGGATGGGTGGGATACATAAGTGTAATTTTCTGATTGGCTAAATTTTAAACCAAATGTAGGGAAAGAAAGGCTGATTGGTAGTACTACTTAATTCCCACTTACAATTTATTTTAGAGAAGGGCTAACGCTATCCGACTTTCGCTGGCTTCTCCTTTCCGCACGACTTTGGACGCATCGTCCCCTCCACAATTGATGATTTACGCCCATAACTTGCTTGCAAGCCTACGGACTAATGCTGATCCCGAAGAAACACTTCGAAGATTCTACACCACCGTAATCACCACAGTTGATGGCATAGAGTACACAGCCGCACACTTCCTCGGAGGCTACTACCTCTCCGATAACCGTGTCAATTGTCATCCGAACTGGATAAACGTCCGATTCGAGAAGATATTCAACCCAGTCATTGGCCGTGCCCTTATCCAGAGATCTACTCTCGCTAAAACACGCCTGTCAACACCTACCTGGCTTCTTAAAGCCGATGTTGATCCATATGAACTTCTGACCTGCTACAGCGAAGAAAATGTTGAAATCCTCCTTGACATACTTACCGATGTATCATCCTTCATCAGTACTGAGCTCCCGTCTTCCAAGAAACTTGGACAACTCATAGGCGAACCATACGGAGTCAATATACTTTACCATTCCATATGGTCAAATACACTCCCTACATGGCATCAGCTCCCTCCTGCCCCGATGTCTACACCCCAAGACACACGCATAATAAGTGACAAAGCCTTTTCTAGTCACTTACGACTGTATAAATCCGCTCCTCATTTCAAGAGCACCCTCACCCCTGGCCCTACTGATATAGATCTTTCCCTATATCTTGTCGGAAACCTTTCTTATAGTACAGACAATCCAGTCTGGACATATGAAGTATTCGATAAACAAACGCACGTCACCCCTGACGTCTTTTGGTTTCAACCATATATTAAAAATCCAAGCGCTATTAACTATTCCGTAACACTAGGACTTTTAATCGAAAACGGATCTATCGACGGCGTCACCGTCCCAATTCCCAATATCCGTATGTCCCTAACAGAGAACAACTCTATGTTCCTGCAACGTTCTGTTCCCCTTAATCATCTCATTAGATACACTCTAGATGGCGCAGTAACCGCTAACGTTTATCAAATGGAACGGACAATCCACGAAACCGAACCAATAGGTTTAGCAATGAACAATTGCTCAACCGTTCTCGGCACAGAACACATCAGAGCCAATACACACCGTATTTTCGGCGCTAAAGTCCATGAAAACTGTAACGACCCTAACTCAGACTTTACCTACACCGCCTGGTCTCATGAAGACCCATTAGATATCTTACCAAATAAGATTCATTTATGGTCCTCATACCGATACGTCCAACATTCAAATACTGCCCGCAGACTCATTCACTTCTACTACACTATGCGCCAATTCTATGGCGAAAATGTCACTCTGTCCCGCACCCGGAATCCTACCTTACTGATTCCTTCATAATTTAAATAATTCAAATTTAGACTAATAAATTAATCCTTAGCTGAGCTCCAGCTTTTTTTCTTTCTTACTTCTATTACTTTGACATGCTATACATCATATAGCCAAATTCCTCCTCATTTTAACTTCTATCATTAAAATATCTGGTCGATTTGATTCAAATTTTAAAATTAAACAAAAAAATAAACGACCCCAAAAAATGATGGTGAGGTTTATATGATGGTGGGTGAGGTTTTCCTCACCTGTAAGTCAAATGGCACCATCAATCATCTTTAAGTCGCCCCGGAGCGCCACGGCAAATAATAATAATAGCCGTCCCTTCCCCTACACAAGTCGTTCAGTCGACTTCAGGGGTTGAAATTCACTCGTAAGGGGGTGAATTAGGGAGAGTATTATTATTATATATTATCAAATTATTATTTTTCAAACTTCATTCATTAATTACCCTAAGAGTCTACCAGTCTACCACGAGAAACTTAAAATCATGCAGTAAAAGTATAAAAATTCTCGATCACTTAAAAAAAATAGGGATTCACCAAATTTTCACAGAGTGCCTGCCGGTAGGGAGAAAACCAAAGATGTTCCAACAAAATTCATCCATCGATCAACCATCTACCAGTTTTTCACATGATATGTTTAGTGAACTTAAAGCGCATGTTTAAAACTGTAATATAAATTCTCGCTAGATAACATCACTAGTTAGTCTTCAAGATGCATTTAATAGTAGATGTTCAGGGTTTCATCATTGAAAAAGACAAATTTATTTGCAAGGAGTTGGCTACTTTTGATGGGAAAAAAATTACACACAATTTTTTTAAAGCACCTCTTCGTATACGTTTGCTAAATGAGGAATTCCATAGACAAGCTATATGGTTAGTGGCCAATCACCATGGGTTGAATTGGAATCATGGTTTTACACCACTACATGAATTCCATAATATTATCCAGAATGTGACAAATAATGTAGAAGCAGTTTATGTAAAAGGGAGGGAGAAGGCGCAGTACATTAGAAAATATAGTTTAGCACCAATGTTCGAAATGGATGAACACCCTGCTCTACCAAAATTACCCCCGAAATGTCCACATCATTTAAGTGAAAACAGCATATTTGCATTATCCAATGTATTTTACTTATATGAAAATTTTATTATGCAATAAATATATCTTTTTTAACATTTGTTTTATTTTAGAAATAAAAATCAACTTATAAAATAATTCTTTATTTTTATCTTAGTACTGACATGCATAAATGACAATTTGATTGTGCTGGTGCTGGTCCATCCACATGGGTTTACCACTCTGGTCTATTGTAGTGTACAAAACAGGGGAGCTGGGTCCCCACCACAAAATCTGTCCTAGCTTCAATGGGCAATTTATTTATGCCAAGACATCAACAGTTCCCAAAGGAGTAGCATATTTTCTTAAATATTCAACACTAAAATTCAATAATTCTTCTTGTGTGAACATATGCAGCGGTTTTCTCGAATGTTGGGCGATTAGGGCAACCTTCGCGCAACACTCCATTTTTGTAACGGTTGATATTTTTAAACAAAAGGTCTATCAACTTCTTTTCTTCCTTACGAGAAATGAAAAATAGTCTCTCTTCTTTGGATTCATAAACTTTACCACTGCGTAGGCGCATCAGTTAAAGAGAGTCTCAAAAAGTTTTTAAACATAACTTCACTTTGTAATTTTGTAATACTCTGCTTCAACTTTTTGTCTTCTACTAAGCACCGCCAAACTCATACTGTTTATTAAAATGAACTGTTGATGCTATATGTAGTTGCCCCCACTTATTTAGACTTGTCCAGACTTGTTTGGGTGTCACGTCATCCGCCGGTGGCCTTAAACTCATGGTAGATTAGATGGTAGAGCGAAAGTGGATGTCTAGACACCATGTGACGGGGGTGGGTCATTAAACTAGGTCACCGCATGATGATCGTGGTTTCATGAGTTCTATGCGAGAGGGAATATAAATGAAAATCGTTAATAATTTTTAGTTCAGTAATGTCGAGCGAAGACTTTGGTGATCTTTTGGATATACTTTATCCTCCGGATAAGTATAAACTCGAGCGGAAACTGTGTTTGGTTTGCCGTTCAGTGAAATCCAGGATGATTACAAAAACAGGAGGAAAAGAAAATTTTAGCACTTTGTCCAAAATGTATGCAAATAAGACCGGTTTTTATTACTTATGAAGATTTAGTCGATCCATATAAAGTGTGTAAAATTATTTACAAAGAGAGATTGTTACCAAATAGATTTGATGCCCCCTACCAGCAATAGGAATTTGTCGTAACTGTGTCAAGTGGAGGGGAGCATACCATCCAATTAAATATTTTTTTACTCCATTGACTGACTAATAACAAGAATGAACAATCAATATGAAGAACAAAGTGAAGGTGAGAACCGGATGTCTTTATCTTTCCCATTAAATTACAACATGTATTCGCCAGATGTCTTTCTGAAAAATATCAAATTGCACCAGATGGTACTCACAATGATTGCGCAAGGCTAAAACCCCACCCTGTTATTATATGTATTTAAATATTAAATCTCCCTTAATAACTGAATCAGTAATTTATAACTTTATATAATGGATACCGATTCGAGTTCTGACGAATCATACGATTTTTTAAATAATCCAATGGATGATGTGCAATTTGAGGTGGATAGTGATACAAGTGACTCAACTACAAGTTCGATATTTCACGACAATGAATGTCTTGAACTCGATTGCCAGAATGATATGGACGTTAAAATGTGTCACGTCACTGAAGTGAATAATTTAAAGTTTACTAGCTATGACTATTTACAAGCAATTTGTGTTACACAAAACTATTTTTTGGTGAACGAAAACAAACTGTGTATCACATGTTTTTTTGATGTGATGTTACCATAAGAAGAAAACATAAAACCAAATTATGTTATTTATTGTTTTGGCCTTTACTTGATGAAAATCCATTTTATCTTGAATGAGTAAAACCAAATTTGATAGAATTTCACAAAACTTTTATTTAAAAAAAATAAAAAATAAAAATTTAAAAACACTACATAGACATGTTTCGAAGTACAACTTCCTTTTCAAATGAAAAAGAAGTTGTAATTGTAAAATAAGAATAAAAGTACACATATGATTCACTACCTGAGAAACCAAGGAATTTAGAATTGGCGTTCAAGAAAAAAATTGCGACAAGCAAAAACTAAACGCTCATTTTAATTGCATGTTATGTATCAATATAAAAAATTATGGTAACATCCTCTGTGAACTATTTTACCCGCCAGAAACTGGAAAGTCCACAAAGTAAAACCTGGATGGGTGTGATACATAAGTGTAATTTTCTAATTGGCTGAATTTTAAACCAAATGTAGGGAAAGAAAGGCTGATTGGTTTTACTACTACTTAATTCCCACTTACAATTTATTTTAGAGAAGGGCTAACGCTATCAAATTATTATTTTTCATATATTGCAAACTTCATTCATTAATTACCCTAAGAGTCTACCAGTCTACAATGAAAAACTTAAAATCATGCAGTAAAGGTATAAAAATTCTCGATCACTTAAAAAAAAATAGGGATTCACCAAATTTTCACAGAGTGCCTGCCGGTAGGGAAAAAACCAAAGATGTTCCAACAAAATTCATTCATCGATCAACCATCTACCAGTTTTTTACATGCTATGTTTAGTGAACCTGCTGTTGCCCTAAATCAATCTTTGGTTTTGGTTTCCGGGGAAGCCGAACCAATGGCTGAAAAAACATATGCTCAATATACCAAAAACAAAACGCCAGGTTATATCCGTTTTCAAAGGAATATGAAAAAGCCTCCACGCCACTGATGTGTCAAAATTATGACCTCAATGGATGAAATTGAAAACGAGCCAATGGAAAATGTAGCAACGGAAAATGAAGCAGAAGGGGGTGAGGTAGCGGACAATCATACCCTTGAAGATAATGATAGTGACATTAGTGATGTGCTAAATTTAACAAATTTCGAACCAGAAAAATAATATTTAAGTATTTTTAAAAACAATTTAAGTGTTTTTTGCGCACCAACGATGATGTTTTAAAATAATACCCTAGGAAAAAAATGATGTTGGAAAGAAAATTGAAAAAATATGAGAGAAAGGTAATTAAAACTATGGATTTAATTTTAGAAATGACCAAATATATCAATTTATCAATAGAAATTAAAAATTGTATTAAAACTCAAACATCAGTGTGCGATAAATATCTTTATTATTTGTTATTACTTTTTAATCAATACATTTTTAAAACTGTAATCAAATAAAATAAGATTATGTGTGTTTATTTTCATATCAACAGATTTTATTATCACACTTCACTTGTGGTCAATAATGACAAGATGGAAATTTTGACACACCGAAACTTTAATTTCTTGCGAATTCGCATTATTCAAAATCTAGGGGGCGGGAATCTTGAAACCATTTTAATATTTTGCGAATATCGAACAAATTTTGTGTGCACGTATGCATAGTAGCGACTATAAATAAATGCTTGTTAGTTTGTTGAGGATTTGTTTACATATTCTTGTCTTTATTTTTCGTTAAAATTTTGTAATAGCCAGAACCATGAGCCAGAATATGGATATGTATGAAAGTGAAGCTATATATTACACCATAATTTAAAATGAAAACATTATGCCTATAACTTTCTATAAAATAACTACTTCAGATCACTGATGCTTACATACAATTGGTATTGTTTCGAAATCAAAACATATCAAAACATTTGAAGCCGGTCCTGCGCACCACACTTTGGGTGGTCTGCTGAGTATATATAAAAAATCGTTGTAAACACCTGCTTGCATGGTCTACGTGACATTACCCACGTAAACGTGCAAAACAGGATCACACCTGACTAGCCGACACTATGCATTTGTTCCATCTGTCTCCCTCTATCGCTTTTCTATCTCCCTCAACATATACGTAGCTAACCGAAAAAGAAACTCACTTTTTAACAAGTCACCAAAGCAAACAGACGTGTATTGAGTTCGCTCTTACACAACATAAAAATGTTATTTTTTAACTCACTTCTCAGCAAGTCACGAAAGCAAACAGACGTGTATTGAGTTCGCTCTTACAAAAGATAAAAATGTTATTTTTTAAAAAATGTTTTTCTCAGCAAAGATAGTATTTCGAATGTAAATAAATATGTAAAAAAGTTTTTGTAAATAAGTGTACTGAAGATTTATGAAGAGTCATAAATAAAAGGTGTTATCTACGATGATTTTACGAGTTTTATTCCATAAGGAAATTACGACAGTCCATTAGCCGAAGCAGAGAAGAGCCGAAAAATTTAAAAGCTATGTTGCTGCATACGTGGTTCATCTATACAGGTAATCACGATCACACCAGGTATATTGTTCATAATAAAATCATTTGTTCTTGTGTTAGGTTGAATGTGCCAAGTGTGGGGCGGTTTTTGATGTGCAAGACCATCAATATCATGAGTGCAACATAGCAGCAGCCAGCGAACAAAAAGTTTATACTGCCACTAATATGGCTTAATTTGCGGAAGCCATCCAGGCACGCCCTGCTCTTTGGAACCATACCTTGCCTCTCAAGAAAATAGGCAAAGATATTAGAGAAAATTTTTGGAGGGAGGTGTATGATAAGATGAATGGGTTAATACCCCTAAATTAAATTGAGAATAAATAGAAGAACCTTAAGGATACTTTCCTTAAACATTTAAAGTAAGTATACAACTAACTGGGTTTAAGCAAATAGAGCTCAGTAATTCAGGTAATTATTGAATATTAACTTTTTTAGAACATACAAGCCATCAGGAGCAGGGGCTGACGACAAAAATAAATGGAAGCACTATGACAGTTTTAGTTTATTAACTGACATTAATTTAAATCGATCAACATTTAGTAATTTTGGACCAGTGATCAGCTGTGGATGTGGACCTTTTGTCGCCAACATCCAGCACCTCGAGGTCACTAATGAGCAATTCTGACACACCATTCAGAAATAAGAGGCAAAAAGAGAGTGGTGAGCATATGATTTTTACTGTCGCTTTTATAACAAGTTATGTAAAAACATATTTTGACATTTATTCTTATTTCAGATGAAACTGATCAAATGTTACTGTAACACCAAAAAAATGAAAATTCAACCTTAATTAGTCCTGTATTGATGGCACTACAGGAAGTTCTCAACAAATTGCCAGAAAATGTTAGACTGAAGGCAGAAATTGAAAAGTTGCGAGACGAAACCCCCTTATGGGGCCGGCGCGCTACCCCAGAGCAGCCCTATCGATTTTTCGTTATCATTTTCGGCTTTTCTGGCCCAAAATACCTAAGTAGACGAATTTTCACGATCGCTAAAAGTGGACGCTAGATTCTCCAATTTTGTTCCAAATAACACGAAAAGTCGTCTTATTGGGTATTTCGAGCCGGAAAAGCAGAAAATTAGCATGAAAGGTCCCTAGGGCTACTCTGGGATAGCGTACGGGCGTCAAAGCGCCGTTTTAGCGTGCAACCTTTTGCGGACGAATTTCTTATGAGCCAACCGTTATGATATATCATTTTAAAATATTACGGTCCTCTTAAGTAATGTTAGGGCTATAATCTGTGAAAATTTGAGTCACCTAAGTGATCGCGTTCGGCTAGGAAAAATTCGCCCGCAAAAAGTTGCGAGACGAAACCCCCTTATGGGGCCGGCGCGCTACCCCAGAGCAGCCCTATTGATTTTTCATTATAATTTTCGGCTTTTTCGGCCCAAAATACCCAATAAGACGATTTTTTTTTGGGAATTTGTATTATTTTTAATTAGCAACATCGCATCTTAAGAAGTTTCTTTTTGTTTCATGGAATTGGTAACAATTAGATGATGATAAACTTCAAAGTTCAGCGCCAAAAGAAAACATCTTTCTCTTTCTTGTCGTCTTGCTTGCTTTTTTTAACAACGATCGTTCTTAATTTTTATAAAACATAATAAGTAAGTATATATACTATGAGGTATATATACCATAATATGAGGTAAGGAGGTATGCTTAATTAACCAAAATTAGTTTTAAAACAATTTTATTACCTATATTGGTTTGTAAAGTATGTGCCAAGTGTAATAATCAGAGATTGAAAAAAGGGACACCCAGTATAGTTAAAATTCGTTTTATCAGATATATTTCAAAACAATTTTATGTAAGGCAATATGACATGGTTTTACAAGCACGTGCAAAAACGCTAAGTCAGGAGTTTAATGAAGTACAATGTATTTCTCAATGTTAGAACGGAAGTTGGTATCATATTTGTTTATATAGACACGATTATATTTTTTAACCTACGTACAAGGCATCAAGCTGACTCAGAAAAAAAAAACGGAAGCCATCTTTGAGCTTTGTTTCAAAGGGGGCGTGGAAATACACGTATGACCATTATGACTGGACATAAAAATTATAAACATTAACTGAAATGCCTTTTTTTGTAAAGCGGCCATTAAAAAGGCGTACCAAAAAAATACTTCCCAACGGGAAAATTCTAACGAGGCAGTCGTGGGTTAGTTTTTCACGGGGAACGACTCGAGGTCTCACGGGGTCATATAAATAATTTTAGTTTTTTGGTTTTTTATGATTATTAAAAGATAAATTCGCGGCGCGAACGGTTTTTGTGTAATTTCGCACGTTGGTTGATAGTGTGACCTAACAGGCGAATCCAGAGCGACCACCTATATACAGGTGGGGATTTACAGTCAACCCTTAAGACGACAGGGGTAAGTCCATTGAGAAAACAACTAACTTTATCTTTTGAGTTATATGGTATCAACTGGTAGCTCGATAAAAATTGATTGAGAGATTATAGTACTCCCTCCTTTTCTGTAATGAAAAAAATTACAGATAGTTTTAGTTTATTGGTGTCAATTTTTTTATACTAGAAAAATAGACATTCACTGGATTTATGACGTATTTTATGTCGAATTGAATAGCCTTTAAAGTTTGTAAGTTTGTGACAATGGTGAAATTATTTTAGATTTTAATGGTATATCACCTGTTTGTATCAGTTCTTTAAATTTTCATTTCAACATCGTACATTCCATTTTATGAAGGGATAAACGATTTGTTATTTAGATAACGTTAATACCTTACAATCGAGTCCATCGTCATAAACTTTGCTTAACTTTTCTGCTAGGAACTCTGTCTAAGTTCATTTTATTTTATTTATCGATTTTATTTTGTTACGTCAATCTTTCTAAATTTCAATTTTACTCATTATATTTGTTTAATTTACCAACGGATTTTATTTTAACCCCCATACACCCCAGTGAAAGTTATTAGACGAAAGATCACTTAGTATCTGAGAAAAAGAAAACATCAACTAACAAAAAAAAAAAGGTTCACGCATTTAAGCCGTGGCGAATCACGCCCTATTAGATTTAATTTGGTAGAAAACTATAGTGCCCAAACCGCTCAACTAGACTTAATAGACATCTAAGTTAGACCTATAAGTAAGTACCCTTTTCAGTTTTATGTAATTTCTATTTAAACCCAATGCAGGGTTAAAGTATAGTTCAGTCAATAAGTAGTTAAAAGAACTAATGCCCCCAAATTAAGATAATCAGCGGGTACTACACGCTGGTGACAAACCAGTTATTACACAAGTTTGACTCTCGGTTTGACTCGTTTTCCCTGTTACGTACTGCTTAATTAACCAAAATTAGTTTTAAAACAATTGTATTATATTGGTTTGTAAAGTAGGTGCCAAGTTTGACTCGTTTTCCCTCTTACGTACTAATTTTTTTGACGTGTAAAGGTTTTACCGGCTTAGGGGTAGGTACCATGTTCGTTGTCAGTCAGTGACAATTTTTTTTTTATGAATGTAAACATCACATATAGCGGAGATACATTTAAGTCTACATAAATGTAATTCTTCCATTTCAGAGTTTCAAGATGCCTTTGACATTTTCATCAGAATCCTTCTTTAAAAACCCCTTTTGAGTTTTAGAATTTAAAATGTGTTTACAACATTATACTTTTCCTCCACAACCAACTACAAAAGTAAATAAAATTTTAAACCGTATTTATAATTACAATAATATCGATAATGAAACTAGAGATGATTTCTTATCGTTAATGGACAATTGTTTTTTTAAAATAAGAGATTGGCCACTCGTAAAGCTTTGTCCAATTTTAGCGGCCGCACAGTTATGTGTTTTACATAAATTTAAAATGATAGAACGTAGTTGTCCTAATAAAAAAACCAAAGAAATATTAGATAAGATATTTCCAGAAGTATCGTCGAAAGACAAAGTCGTAAAATATTTCAATTTGATCCTAAATAAATCTATTTTTTTTAAATGTTATTTAAATGAACAAAACATTAGAAAAATTGACCCAAGGGTTTACTCCAGGTCTGTAAATTTTTTAAAGAGGGCTGTTTGGTACTATTTTTGCCAACATTGTGGCGTTAAATATTTTAAAAACAATCTACGTGATTCAGAACGATTTTATAATAATACTGGCTACATCAATCCATCTGCAACAGTATATAAACGAAAATCCATAAGAAAAGATTCTACTCCTTCCACATCTCAGCAATCCATTGAAGAAATTACTTTAAATAATCCTTTCACATCTCAGCTATCCATTGAAGAAATTACTTTAAATAATCCTTCCACATCTCAGCAATCCATTGAAGAAATTAATTTAAATAATCCTTCCACATCTCAGCAATCCAATGAAGAACATACTTTTGTAATAATACGAGTTTAAATAATACATCTAAAAAATATACTGTAAATCATCCTTTCACATCTACTTTAAAAAATCCGTCTAAAGAAAATAATCATCCTTCCACATCTCAAGAATCTACTATAAATAATCTATCTGAAGAAAATACTTTTAATCATCCTTCAACGTCTCAAGAATCAATAAACGAAGAACCTCCTTTAAATAATCTATCTGAAGAATTAACATTAAATAAATCATTCACATCAAGTTTTAATAATGAATCCATGTCTCCTGCTCAATCAAACGTTACTCCAGTGCTTCAAAGTAGCTGGGACCTAGGACTGTTGGTATGGGCCAAATTAAAAGGCTATTGGTATGAACCGGCCATAATGATGAAGAAGAATCGACGAACTTATTCTGTGAAGTTTTTGGTCATCTGAAGACGATAAAACATTTGGTGGGAAACAAAAATTTAATGTTATTCTCAGCCCTCACTTTGGAGAAGACCCTTGAAGATTGTAAAAAGTCATATGCTAAGATTTCCATTGAGAAAGGATACAAAGCGGCCAAAAAATAAACTACTGATGCCAAGAAGGCTCCCTAGTTACATATAATCCATTAGTATTGTGTTCGGTACTTCTGTTTTTAGTGAAAACGTGAAAAAATCTCAAATACAAAAGTTTTGTGACTTGCAGTGAATTCAATTGGAAAAATATTTTACAATATAAAAGATGGACCAAACAGTAAGGTAACAGATAAATTATGATTTTCAAATGACACCCCGTTTGTTTTTTGGTATTTGAATTCACTTATAATTGATTTATTTTTACATGGCCGAGCAATTGGGTGTTACGCTCGACAAATCGTGGGTTGAGTATTATAATGTTCTAACTGCACTTTTGGCGCGAAACCGCTTTTTATGCTAGAAAAATAGTTCATAAAGTTTTTGTTCTATGAATATAGAAATATCTATTTAACTTAGTACACAAACTGAGAAAAACCCATTATTAAATTGTTCTATCACTAATATTTGAAAATATTTTAATATTATAATGTCCTAACAGGTCAACCAATAAGAAGAGAGAATTTTTGCTGTTTCAGTTTTGTATGTCGTAGAAATAAACACGGCGTGGTTTTGTGGTGCAATTTTAAGGAATTTCGATTGAAATACGTATCATGGAGGGTGAACTGAACCCGTAAGTATTATGTACATTATTTAATAATATGTTGATTACATTTAAGAAGACAGTTTATCTAAATTCACTTTTAATGCGATTATAACTTTACATTTTTTCATAACATTGGCTGTTAGAACAATATAATTTGGAAACTTTTATACTTTATTTACATTGTTATTTCTTGTTTTTATATGCTGTTGGAACGAGCGATTATTAGGCAAATAAATTTGTTTCAGTGACTGTCGGCTTTCTTATTTTGAAGACAGCGATGATTCGATACGTGATCCAGATTACACAGTATCAGATTCAGAAATGAAAGATCTATGTTTAAATAATGGTAAGTTGCAGGTACAAATTAAATAAATATGGAATATTTTTGACTCAGCCAAATGCATTTATTTACAGACTCAGATCAAGATGCTGAAGAAGAGAGGTTAATCCCTAAAGAGAAAGGGGTAAATATTGAAGAAGGCGTGGTAAATACCGAAGGAGAAGAGATAATAGAACCAAATAGCGCAGAAAATTTGCAAGTAGATGGAATATCTCAACTCCAAGAAAGTGCCAATTCAAACAGAAGACAAAAAGGACAAAATAACATGAGTTCTGATGAAAATAACTAACCAGGAAATGTAAAAGACAACCTGAGAAATGGAAGATGAATATAAACAAAAAATTGTGTCAGTCAGGTCAGGAATATCAAGACGTTATAGGTAACATCCGAAAAAGAAGATGTTAAAAAACTGTTAAAGACTGCAAAATTAAGTGCAAAAATTTATGCGCCAAAAAGATTAGTTTACAAGAAAGAGAAAATATAGTTAATGGATTTTGGGCCCTTTCTAATAACGCCAAATTTCACTTCTATGACAAAAATACAGAAAAAATCGAGAAGAAAAGAAAAAATATCGCCAAGAGGATTCTCGACGTCAATACACTTTTAGATATTACTTTTATGTTTCGAATGAGAAAATACGTACTTGTAAGACATTTGTTTTATCTACTTTGGATGTGAGCCAACAGAGAGTAAATTATTTTCACCAAAATAAAAAGAGTTTGGTGATAGGAATTCCATCACCTTCTAAGCAAGGTCGCCATCCTAAAAAAGTAGTCAGTGAGATTGCTAAACAAGATGTTCGAAATCATATTAACAGTATTTCTCGAGTTGACTCTCATTACTGCAGAATGGACAGCAAGAAAGAATATTTTGAAGGAACTTTAAATATGAGTAGACTATACAGACTGTATGTTGAATATTGTGCTGAAAATAAAATAGAACCAGTCAAAAAACACTGTTATAGGCATATATTCAATTATGAATTTAATATAGATTTTATAAAACCCAAAAAAGATCGATGCGACACGTGCGAAGAGTTCCTGTTGATCCAGAAGAGAGACACTGAAATTGCAGAACAACAGAAGCGGAAGCCATCCAGGCACGCCCTACTCTTTGGGACCATACCTTGCCTCTCAAGAAAAGAGGCAAAGATATTAGAGAAAATTTTTGGAGGGAGGTGTATGATGAGATGAATGGGTTAATACCCCTAAATTAAATTGAAAACAAATGGAAGAACCTTAAGGATACTTTCCTTAAACATATTTAAAGTAAGTATACAAATAACTGGGTTTAAGCAAATATAGCTCAGTAATTCAGGTAATTATTGAATATTAACTTTTTTTAGAACATACAAGCCATCAGGAGCAGGGGCTGACGAGAAAAATAAATGGAAGCACTATGACAGTCTTAGTTTATTAACTGACATTAATTTAAATCGATCAACATTTGGTAATTTTGGACCAGTGGAATCAGCTGTGGATGTGGACCTTTTGTCGCCAACATCCAGCACCTTGAGGTCACTAATAAGCAATTCTGATACACCATCCAGAAATAAGAGGCAAAAAGAGAGTGGTGAGCATATGATTTTTACTGTCGCTTTTATAACAAGTTATGTAAAAACATATTTTGACATTTATTCTCATTTCAGATGAAACTGATCAAATGTTACTGGAACTTTTAAAGCAACCAACACCAAAAAATGAAAATTCAACCTTAATTAGTCCCCAACAAATTGCCAGAAAATGTTAGACTGAAGGCAGAAATTGAGATATTAAACAAGGTGTATCAGCTACATGCTGAAAATTAAGTACAACAATAGATTTCTTTAATAGCATTTTTGTACTAATCATATTTTATTAATCACCAACAAAAAAAATCTAATTATGGAGTATAGAGGAGGTAAGAACTATCTCTGTATACAAAAAATATCCCTTTAAATGTCACATATGATCACCCTAGTGTATAAGTCAGAGAAAAAAAAATTGATACTTAATGCAATTTTTTGTAAAACATCCGCAATTTCAATTAAACCTAGCAAGAAGAAATTGCAAGATACTTGCTAGGGTTTACTTTATTATATCTCAATGGCTGGAAAGTAATCATAATTCTAATTTATTTAGACCACTGAACATCAAGTGGAGCTATTTCCAAAAAACAGTTAAATGAGAGCGCATAGTACTTGCTCTTTGGGCATATGCATTTCCTCCCATTCTTGGTACACTTTGCAATTTTTTCTGAAATGCAGTCCTTCATTCCCCTTCAATAACCTCCCCTGTTTCACTTTCTTTGTCTACATAATTGGGAGGACCGTATTTTGTGTTAACTGGCTTCTCTGCATCACGCTTTTTTAAAAAGTTATGCAAACAAATTAAGGAGCCCACAATTTTTTCGATTGTTTCTAGTTTTGTTATAATTGGACGTTCTAATATCCTCCATTTAACAACAAGAATGCCAAATGTATTTTCAATGATTTTTCTTGCACGACTTAATCTGTAATAGAAAATGTTTACGTTTACAATAATATAAGCTATAATTTACCTATAGTTAAAAATTCTTTCCTTTTGTTCAGGAAGTCTTTCTTTGTAGTGAGTTGATATTTGAAACAATAAAATATTAACATAGAAATATTTCAACTTGGTGTCGCAGCTTATCAAGCTAGTTTTTTTTATAATTTTTTCTTTGAATATTAAACAAGCTTTTAATATTCTTTCTTCTTTTGAGTTAATTCATAAAGACTACCTTTGCAACCAGAAAATTATTATTAATTTAATAAATACTTAATAATGTTTGTTTCAATTAGTTAAAAATTATTTTTTCGGAATTAATAAAAGACTAATTAATTTTTGGATTCAATCCATATTCGTTCTTTTCTAGCCAAGTAAATACTTTAACATTTTAGGTAATAACCGTTTGAAATGTTTATAATAATTTTTTTGGAAAATGTATTTTCAATAAATTTTTATTGTTTCAACTATCAGTCACTAGCTTTAGGTCGTGCACGTTTATGTATATTTATTCCTCCCCAGTATTTGACCAGTTCTTATTCAGCTATCTAGAATATTGTAATAAATTATTTAGTAATTTCAACTCATGAGGACCAAATAAATTATTTAATAATTTCAACTAATGATGACCTATCATAAATTTATAAATACCCTAATACTCCGGTCAAATTAGACCAAAAAATGCAAGTGAGGTTACATAAATTCGCACCTGGCTGAAAGTTGGTAGGATTGTTCAAAACACCATTATAAATGAAACCTAAAAAGTCCTCATCAATCCGGCACCTGGAAAAAAATTTACTCCAGAAATTGTATCAGCCGCACCTGACGGCTCTGAAATATCGAAGATTATCATCAGACTCGGAGGGTTTCATCTTTTAATGTCTTTTCTTGGAGCAATTGGGCATATTATGCAAGGAAGTGGCATGAAAGAAGTACTCGCAGAGATTTACACACTGAAATCATTAGAAAAAATGCTTAACGGTCACGCTTACGCAAGAGCTGTCCGAGCTCATATACTACTTCAGCTTGCTTTGGCAATTATAATATTAAAAGAAGTTGATATTAATGACATTATGGATGCAGATCTCATTGTTAATATTGAAAACATATTAGATAAGACTCTTTCATATAATGACATTAAAGTATCAGGAGCATTACTTGATAAATTTAATCAAAAACTTAAAGAATACGAAGAACGAGGACCTACTGCGACGCTTTGGATAACATATTTCATTATGGTTTCAATTACAAAAGAGTTTCTAAGAGCTGAGCGTATGGGGGATTGGAAAGCTCATTTAAAATGCGTTCAAGAAATGCTTTCTTATTTTCACGCGTCAGGACATTTTCCGTATGCTAAGTCTGCACACCTTTATTTACAAGACATGCAACAATTACACAACTTGATCAATCCCGAAGTTTACGAAAAATTTTTCACTGTTAGACGTTCAGACAAATTAAGCTGTGGAACTTCAACAGATATGGTAATAGAACAGTCAATGATGAAAGCTATGAAGACGGATGGAGGTATTGCTCGAGGGAGAAGTACAAAAGAGAGTGTCATAAGTAAATGGGTTTATAGTATGCATGCAATGAATACAGTTTGTGAAAGATTAGAAGACCTCGCTATTGTTAGAATGGATATGACCGAACAGCATGTTGATGCAAGTGATTCACGAGTAAAAAAAGATACAAAAGAGATACGGAAACTTCTTAAGTGGTTCTCCACGCATGAACCTTTTCCAGAGGTTGACAAAATTATATCTATTGCAAGTGGTGTTGTTGGTGATAGTAAAATTAACTGTTATAAAGCTCGTGAAGTTGAGCTTAACTCTGTGACAAAACTAACAGGACTAACATTTAATAATATTAAATTAAAACGCGCTGACAAAGCAGTTTCTCTTTTAGCTATGAGTAGCACCATTAAAGTTCACGATGAAAAAGTACCAATTGACCCTGTATTATTGTTCCAACGAATGAGTATTACTGCGGCATTTCAAGATGAAATTGAAAAATATTTTGAATATCAATTGGCTCCCTACCCTTTATCATTGTTTGATGAAATTGGAATACGCAAAACACAGAAGTCTGCTATTTACGATTGTTTCCAAAAGGTAAATATTGATATTAACAACACAAATGCGACATACATCATTGACGGAGGATATTTATTACACCGCGTTGTGTGGGATAGCGAAGAAACATTCAACGTTATCTTAGATAAATACGTTCAGTATGTACGTCGACATTTTGGCTCCAGCATTACTGTCGTATTTCATGGCTATAATGACTTTACGAGAAATATCAAAGCCGCAGAACAACGTCGCAGAACTTCATCTTCTGATATGTTATTTGATCAATCAATGACAATTCCTACCAGCCAACAGAAATTTCTTGCTAATACAATAAATCTCGGTTCATTTCAATGTTAAAAGAAAAGTTTACTGCTGAAAATATATTGGTCAAACACGCTAATAATGATGCTGATGTAATGATAGTTGAAACAGCAATTGAGCAATTTAATTTGACAAATACAACGATTGTTGTAGGTGAAGATATTGACTTACTCGTATTACTTACTGCTCGGGCTCCAATAGAAAAAACTATTTTTTTTAAAGCCGGGAAAATCTCAACATCAATTCGAAATATATTCGTCGAAAAGTTTATCAACTTTTGCAAAGTGTCAAAATCATGTACTATTTTTACACGCAATAACTGGCTGTGATACATCTGCATTTTTCAGGAGGGGTAAAACAACAGTTTTTAAAATGTTTGAAAAACAAGATTTAGTTAAGTGTGCTGAAGTTTTTAAAAACTGTAATTCTACTCCACAAGAAGTTATCACTCACGGAATAAGTTTTCTTCTCTCTATGTATGGAGCTCCTAAAAAAACTGCGTATTTAGATAAGTTTCGATACGCGTGCTTCGTTAAAAATACTCGAAATAAAAAACAAGTACAATTAGCTTATCTTCCTCCAACTTCTGCGGCTTCTCATCAACATCTTTTACGGGTATATTATCAAGTTCAAGTGTGGCTTGGTTATCAGCTAGACCCAAAAGACTGGGGTTGGAAGTTGGTCGACAATGCATTAGAACCAGTTCAAACTTTACTACCACCTGCGCCGGAAAAACTGCTCAACACAATTTTTTGCAAATGCAAAAAAGGATGTAGTGCTAAATGTGGTTGTAAAAAAGTTGGACTGTTTTGTTCTGCAGCATGCACTAACTGTCAAGGCCGGTCGTACTCCAATGCTAAATCATCAACACTAGAGGACTCGTTTGATACCAATGAGGAGACATGCGACCGATCACTATTTTGCCAATTTACATGCACCCAGGATGAAGAAGAAGAACAAGGAGGAGAAGAAGAAGAAGAACAACTGGAAGAGGAAGCAGAAATATTTGAGAATTATGATTCCGACGAATAAATTTGCCTACTTTTTTTATTTACACCGCTTTTATCATTTTCAACTCTTGCCAATATCTTTTATTATTTAATAGTTTCAAATTAGAGTCACAACAGATCCGTGGAATCAGGGCTGCCGTTTCAGTAAAATTGTACTAAATTCAGTACATTTGTTACGGCAAAGTACAAAAGTACATTTTAAGTCAAATCAGGGACAATTTAGTACAATTTGAAATATTGATCGTTTTGGTTGCGCCATCTATGCATTGAAAGCCTAAGTTTTCTAACATTCTATATTCCTGGGTTTCGCTCTCAATTTGTAGGTGTCAATCTGATATAAGGGTAAGTATTGGAAATATTTTGTCGGTATTTCCCCTAATGGAAAGGGATTTTACATAGATTTCCGTATAAAAGAAAATTTTTTACTGAAAATGAACTATTTCCCAATGATCCTAATTCGTATCCGTTATTCATTCTTATTAAGCAGTGTAAAAATTATGTTTGCGATTATAAAAATGGATAGGTAAGTTTTAACTATAAATTTGTTCTTTAACACAAAAATATGTAGTCTATAAAGATTTTAATATTTAATATAAGGGTTTATTATATTATATTTTTATTTTTGAAACAATATTTTTCAATTTCAGATACATCAAAAAATTTAAAAAAGATGATGAGATGCCTTCTACATCTGCAGCTGGCGCTACTGCTACCCCCATCAATGTATTACTGAGGGTGATTCCACCGATTCTAAATATTCTTCATCTAACGAACAAAAAGGAAGAGAAAGGGAGAGAAAAAAGGTAATAAAAAAAAATATCTTCAAAATTATTCCAGTAAATGGGAATTAGATTTCGCGTGGTGCAAAAAAACATGTCCCCTAAATTAAATGTAGTGCCTATTGACGTTGTGTTAAAAAGAGATTTACTTAAAAATAAAAAACTTATTAAAGAGGTTGAACTGAAACTAGCTGCCTGTGTGAGTGAACATGATTTATCCTTTAATATAATGAATCATTTGCCAAAATTAATTAAGTCAATCTGTAGATTCTTCTATTGCTAGTGAGATACAATGTAGTAGAACAAAAACAACAGATATTATAAAAAACACCATAGGTCCTTTTTTTTCATCTGAAATTGTAAAATGCTTAAATGAAACATTTTATTCTGTAATAATAGATGAGACCACAGATATCTCGGTTAAAAAATGTCTTGCCATTTTAGTACGGTATTATAAAAATAATAAAGTTAACGACTCTTTTTTAGGATTAATAGAATTGAAAAAAGATAGCACTGCTAGAAACATTTTTGATACCTTACTAAATTTTTTTAATTCAAATGAGATTAAAATTGAAAATATGGCCGGTTTTGCTGCAGATAACTGTAATACAATGATGGGACATATAGGTGGGTTTCAATCACTATTAAGAAACATCGTTCCAAATTTAGTAGTTGTGGGATGTAGTTCTCATTCTTTTCATCTCTGTTCCTCATATGCTTGTGAAAAGATATCCCAAGCAGTGGAAGATATGGTTAAAGACATTTATAATCATTTTTCCCACAGTTCCAAAAGGAAAAATGAATTTAAAGAATTTCAAATGTTTTGTGAACTAACACCTCATAGGTGGTAGATAGGGTCTTAGAGCAATACGAAGCTCTAATTTTATACTTTACCAATTCGTTATTTGAAGAACCACCCCCTAAAACAGATCATACATTAACTTGTTTAAAAAATAAAAATTTTAAATTGTACTTATTTTTTTTAGCATATATTTTAAAAGTAATGAACACAATTAATATTGAATTTCAGTCTGTAAATCCCAGGTTACACCAATTATTACCCCGGGTCACATCAGTATACGAGCAAATATTAAAAAACTATTTACAACAAGAATATGTCCTTAAAAATAAACCAGATGAAATAAATTTAAACAATCCCCGAAATTTTCAACCTATTGAAAATATATATTTTGGTGTTAGAGTAGATGAATTGATAAATGAAAGTCAAATAGATTCAGATGATTTACACAATTTTAGAAAAAATTGTTTAAACTTTTACATCGAATTAGCTAGACAAATAAAAGCGAGGTTTCCTTTTGACAATCCACTATATCTACAGCTCACCTGGTTAGACCCTAAAAATATTTTTTCCATTAAAAAAGCGAAATCAATTATTCCCTTAGTTAGAAAATTTCCAAATATGGTAAGCGAAGCGGAAATCGAAAATATTGATACCGAGTGGAGAATGTTATCGGAGCTACCTAGAAACAAATATAAAGATTTAGATTTACTTGAATTTGTTAATGAAACAAATTATTTCCAACTTTACATGCATTTCTTAAAAATATATTGTGTTTACCTCATGGCAGTGCTGCTGCAGAACGCACATTTTCAGCGTTAAATTTGATCAAAAGAAAGAACAGAAATTGTTTGGATGTCAGTACGTGCCATAATTTTCTTTTCACTAAAGAACTGATTAAACAACTTGCTTTGAATGGGAGCCAACATCTGCACTAATAGCTAAAATGAAACAATATGGTGTTTTTTATACATATTTGTTAATATTTTTGTATGTAACTACTTAAGTATATGTAAAAGAACTTTGCATAGTTTGTTTTAAACATTTTTATGTTCTCGAATATTATCGACATTGTTTTTCTTTTACTTGTCTAAGTATGTACTTTTCTTTGATTTTGAAACACTTAATCATATTTTGATGTATTTACCTTATATGTAAAAGTTTTGCAGTTTGTTTTAAAAATTATTTTTATGTTCACGAGAATTAACAGTGTTTTTCTCTTCTCTGTATGTACTTTTCTTTGATTTTTTATTAAAACATTACATTATATTTTGTACAATTTATTTTTACCTACCATCTCCATCCTACAGTTGACATTCATTTGACATTTGACATGACAACTGACAACATAAATGAGAGTTTTGACAATTGACAGTCAACCTAAAATTTGGTACAATTTAGTACATTTTCCTCGAATTTTCTAGTACATTTCTAAATATCTCCGCGGCAGCCCTGCGTGGAATAGGCCTACCCGGGAAACCACGTTAAAAAAAACGCGCTAAGTACACTACCTCAAAGGTGGTGTGGAAACGTGTGCATATTACGACAATTCCAACTCTTCGAACTTTTTGAATTGTTATATCTAGGAAAAAAAAATCTTAGACATTTTTTTATAGATAATTATCTGCTCTACAATTTTGATCTGAACTAATTTTGTGATAAAACTTACCGTTTTGCTGAAAATCGCGAAAAACCCATTTTTGTGACCTTTGACCCAGAGTAAATTTTTTTCCAGGTGCCGGATTGATGAGGCCAGGTTCGAATTTATGTATCCTTGAAAGTCTAGATTGACCGGATTATAAGTTATTTTTGAGTTAATATTCATATAATTCTAGACTTTTGATAACATACTTAAATAAATTAATTTTTTTGTATTTTTTATTTTTTTTATCAACATTGTTGGTATAAATTCACACTTTTGAGTGATATTTAGTAACATTGCAATAATCAGGATCAATATAATTTCATTCCATCTTCGCAAATAACTTTGAAAACTTAAGATTTCCCTAGAGATTTTTGACGAAGGTCCCATCAACTACTACTGTAGTTTTCAAGTTTTATCTAACAGGCTGGATACGAATTAGTACCTGTATTGATAAGTTACTAACACTATTTTTTTTTCTATAACTTTTACATGTCCTGGAGTGATTCCTTCTGGAAGTAAGATCCACAGTACTCTTGTTAAGAGATACCTCTCCAGCAGAAATATCCGTCGTTCCTCAGATTCTTGTAGAGAGCCTTATCGGAAACTGAGACGCAGGACACAGTGGTGGACACCCGTACCAGTTACACCAAAGGAAAGTAGTAATTTTTATCTGTCTATTGTTAACTATATTAAATTTATTTAAAAAAACACAGAAGACTGATTATTTTGAACAAATATCTGTTTTAACTATTTCTCTTTATAATAATAAATAATTTTATTTACTCTTATTTTTTATTTCGTATATTGTGCTATAGGTTCTTCGATATCGATATCTATTTTTACATTTAAAAATCCTTCTCTTGAAATTAAAGTAAATATAATTATTAACGTTGATTTTTATTATACCTTAAGTATAACTTTGTTTACCCATTTGTTTTTTCTTAACTGTCATTATTATATGTAAATCAACTCGGTTGGCGTCCAATGCAGTACCAAGGACCTAATCAACTTATAATTGAGCTATCGCTGAGTGTGCTATCGAATTACGACCTGAGATCTCATTATTTTCCTAGCTGGCAGTTTCGTGGTCTGGATTCAATATCCTATCAGTAGACGTAAGTAAATTCATTTGAAATTTGTTTAATTTGAAAGAATAAGCTAACATCAAAACTACTTGTGAACTATACGTTACAAACGGACATTGCTTTATAATTTAATATTTCGCTTAACCTTTATTTTGTTGCTCATCTATTTTGATGTGTTCAAGAATATTAAAATGAGCAAAAACCGAAGACAAATCGAGAATGAGAAACGAGATTTAGAAGTCATGAATGAAAGCGCAATTTAATGGAGAGCTACAAAATTTTTATAGTGAATGAGTGGAAAAAGATGTTATTAAAAAATCTTGGACGGCTGACAGGGTTAAAGAAGTTATTACAGACATTAAGCATGGTAAATTAGCTGACTCAACAGGTAAAAAATTAATAAGCAGTATCATTTAACGAGGGATACTCGCAGCAGTCGATATAAATATACGAAACGATGAAGTACTATATAATCTATTCAAGTAAAAATTATAACCAAAAAATAGTAGATATAATACTTAAATTATATACAATAATAATACATATAAACGAATATGGCAAAAATAAAGACCATAAACATGCCAACATTATCATTGAAAGTGAATCTACCACAAAAACAATTGGATACAATATTAGGAAGGAAACTAAGTGCACATCACTGGAAATTAAAGTAAGAAAAGTTCAAAATCTGACACAATTAATTATATAACAAAAGAAGAAAACCATGATATTCTCATTAACACACTTGGAGACCTAACGAAATACAGAGAGAAAGGAAACTTTAACAACAAAAAAAGAAAGCAAGTAGTATTCAATAGAAAAAACTTTTATTCATTCATAGACTGGTATTGGGAAAACAAGGAAAAAGCATTACAACATCCTATTATAAAAATATACCCCTGGATCAGTAAATTTAATGTGAAAAACAATATATTAAAGGTAGAACAACTTCTCGAGATGTACTGCGCATGCACAGGAGAAGCACCGTACGAGGCACAATACAAACTCATTAAAGAACATTTCTGGGCATACTTTATATATTATAAATCTCCTGAAATACCAACACCGTGGACGGAAAACAGTGATATCGAAGAAGAAAACGAGCCTGCGGCAGCCGCTGTAGTTGGGCCTTCGGCCCAAGTTTTAAATTCAAACAACACTGCGGTAACGGGTTTGCAATATGCTACGCTACCTGGCGCGATCGATCATGGCGCGGATGAGCCTGGAGGTCAAACAGAGGACAGTGGAATACAAAGTCTATCGTATAGCCCGGTACTGATGAACATTTAGTCGTAAAACGAAGTTCTCTTGATCAACCTATTGTATACATAATTCCCATACGAGGCTCTGTTTTTAATTTTACCGCTTGTGAAATAGCTTTATTAATAGCGCTTTTAAAGGAACGGGCAAGTCAAATTGGATGACGTAAATCAGTCAAAATAAAGCATCTACAGGGACGTAGATGTTCTGAAAATTAAGTATGCTGAAGAAAAGAGGCATTTATACGGGAGGAGGTCCATCTGACATAATTCAAGAATCGATAATCAACAAGGATATTGCCGAAATAATAGGCACTTAAATGACGGGTCTTCCCTCAGAGTATAATGACGATTTTTTGGGTTAGTAATTTTTTAATTAAGTAGGCACAATTGCTAAGTTAAACTCACTGTGATCAGATTTTGTTATATAAATTTGTTATACATTTTTATATGATAAACTTGCTACAAGTACCTCGAGGTAATAGAAGAGAACACATTGAATATATTACTGTTGAAGCTGAGGAGCAACTCGAAGAACAAGAAGGAAAGGTCTCAAAAATCAAAAACGAAATACATGTTGACAAGGATGAACACTACATCTATGTTAAAAAATCCAATATCAATGCCACTTAAAGTCATCCAAACACCAAAGTGAGTATCCTCAGGCCATTCAAAAAAATACTGTTTTTTGTTTACCTTTAAATGTCTAGTTTATCAAATATATGTATTTCAATCATTAACAACTCCGAAACAGAACAACTTACGTTCCAATTTTGATCGTTGGTTCGAAGCAGGCATTGGCTACATTACAGATAGTGTTTTAAAAAAGAATACGATTTAAAATTAAAACCCATGCAAGAAAAGCATGACGAATTTATAAGGCTTTAGAGCAGGGGCTCCCAAAGTGAGGCCAGCGAGCCATTTGCGGCCTGCGAAACCGTTTCTTGCGGCCTGCGAAACCGTTTCGTGTGGCCCGCGAACAATTGCTTGGTTAAATATACGAAATTATATTGTTTAATTTAAACATGAAAAAGAAAGTCAGGTCATAAACTACAGAAACTTTAAATTCCGAAAATTGAGAGAATGAAAAAAGACCAGTGGCTTAACCAGACTATTTGACCCTTTCGCTCACATCACTTTACATAAAACCTAACGAATTTGTAAAATGCTTCGATCCACTTTACTCACAAAGTACAGCATTGTGTACCCATCCTTATTACTATTTTAAACTGTTTCCTTCATCTAGCGTTAAGTAGTTTACACAAAAAAAATATTAATGGTACCTGTTACTGTTGTAGCGGTGGTTTTTTCAGAATGTTGAAATAAGATGGCGTTTCAATCTTTGAAACAATCTGTGACATTACTACAATATTTATTTTGGTAATAACCAAAACGTGTATTTGCTACATTTATAGTAAACTTGCTGAAAATTTAGTTTGTTTTGTGTATATTGGAGTAAATATTACTGTACAATATATTGTACATTGTGAATAAACGGAAATCGACAGGTATGGTAAAAAACTCCACGTTATTTTTAGTTTTAATTATTCTTGATTTGTTTCACAAAAAAATAAGTTAAAAATGTGCCGTTAACTAAAAAACAACTATTAAAACTAATTGAAGAGGGCCTATCAGATATTGAAGGGTTTAGGGATGACGATTATGAGTGGGGAGATAGGGACGTAGCAGTAAGCACTGATGATGATATTGATGATGAAAATAGATGAAAAATCTTTTTCTTCCAGATGCAGATTCCCTGAATGTACTTCTAGGACGAATTTTGTTTTTACTTAGTGGAATATACATTTAGGCATTTCAAAAAAAAAACAAAATTGATTTTTATTATATCACACAAATAAATGATTAGTTGTACCCTTATGTTGTTTTTTAATTTTATTTCATTTTACAAAATCGCAAATAAAATACCACTTATTCAAAATGTGCAATATGTTCTACATGGCATATACAGGATGTTCCGAAATTAGACGGTCAATTTTAACAGCATAATCTACATCGTAAAATAGGAGTAGGAGTTCATATAAACATAGGTCCAAAAACGTTTCTTTTCCGGGATACAGGGTGTTAAAAGTGAAGTCCTGATGACACACTTTTGTAAATATTTTCTAACCGTTTAAAGATAACTAAGAAAAATTTGGTAAAAATGCTTACCTTTTTACGCTCTAAACCCCAATTTTTAATCATCCTCATAGATGGGTAAATTAGGATGGGCTTAGGGTAAAATTGCCCTATTTTTTTTTGTTGACAGTTTTTAACATTTTTGACCATAAAATTTGGAAAACCAATTTTTTCTTTATAATTTCATGATAAGTTGATGTTATCTTATTCGAAAGTGTAAACAATAATTAGTAGTCCTGTGGAATCAGGAATTTTACCTTTTTTTAACTTTGGAAAACCGGTGACTAAAGAAATTTTAGAAAATATTTACAAAAATGTGCCATCACGACTTCACTTGTAACATCCTGTATCTCGAAGACGAAACGTTTTCGGACCTATGTTTATATGAACTTTTTTTTACTCCTATTTTAGGATGTAGATTAAGCTGTTAAAATATTACCGTCTAATTTCGGGACACCCTGTATACCGTTTGCTCACAATGTACCGGGTGTTCCATTAAGAGAGGTAGCCAGCTATATTTCAGAAACTAATAATAGTACAGCTTTGGGGAAAAATATTTTTAATAAAAACGGCCAAGAGAAATTGCTGGAAATTATTTTCAAGTTTGTAGGGTGGCCGCTAGGGGGCGTAATTGTGAAGTCAAAACATAAAAATGTAATTTTCTCAAAAAGTATATATATTGATAAATATTACTATTTTAATCTTCAATGTTTTCTGAACAAAAAAGCTTAGGCGTAATTTTTGTCAGTTGTGAAATAATGTGGTGGGGGAAGGTTAAACTTTAAATTGGAAAAATTCTCATAACTCCGGTTTGACTTTACCGAATTTAGTGAACTTGGTTTCGTTTAGAAGAGCTTTTTCAGCTTCATTTTTAGCTTTATAAACTGTGGCTGCTTGCGTTTTATGAACGCCGCTAGACGGCGTTAAGTTAAAAACTAATAAATTTTACGAAATTTTTCGAAAAATTGTAACGTTTAAATTTGGCCTTATAGCGGTTTTTTCATTAAAATAGAAATATTCCGTGTTCAGTAATTATTTAATGGGTCCTTCTATACCCGCATTTTAACTACCGTGCTTTTGGATCGATATTCGGACAAAGGGGTCCCTCTGCGACACTCTGGGTGAGCATGTGGCTGCCCTGTATTCAAGATGTCGGTCTAGCGTTTCGCCCTGACGTTAATTGTGGGTATATGATCAGTTTGGGGTAGATAGGACGTCTATTTGAGTTTAGGCTATTTATTTGGTTTTAGAGGTTTGTTTGGTTATTTTAGCCCTTTCTGTCAAGAATTTATTTCGTAATAGAGGGCGCTGATGGGACACCTATTTGTCACTAAAGTATGTTGGTATTACTTGTTTGGGAGATGTCAGGTGACGTTGTTCCGTCTTGCTTGGAATTTCAAGATTGATATTCGACACGTGGATTTGTTTGAAAGGTACTGTTTCGAAATTTATTGGAACTCGTTTCAATCCATTTGGGATTTTGCGGAACAACCTTTTGTTTAAGTTACAACAGTGTGTGACTGTTAGTATTTTTGGGAACCACTTGTTGTAGGAGCTCTTTTGTGAGGATATATTTAACCACGTTTTTGAATCTCATTGTGCCCACATATATATGTAGTCTTTCTGGATAAGCTGTTCACGAATTTGTAGTTTAATTTTATCTGGTGCTTCGTGTCTCCCCTGTAGCTCTTACATTTTATCTGGTGCTTCGTGTTTCCCCTGTAGCTGTGAAAAGGGGTTCTTGTGACGGGCTATCAATTCTTGCGAAAGCCAACACTTCTCGTGACGGGCCAGTATCATTGTGAAGGGCCAACACTTCTTGTGACGGGTTGACTAGCACATCTTGTGACCAGCTAGTACTCCTTGTGATCAGCTAGTAATCGTGTAACGGGCTAGCAACCTTTATGACAGGCAGATTGATTTGTATGCCGAAGTAGAACATCAATCGTCTACTAGAGCAGCTGGAAAGAAGTCACAGCGTACCGCAAGTTTTGCTATCTTATTTTTATATTCCTATTTGATCTATTTTATTGGGGGGTGTTATTAGTACGTATTTTAATCTAAACCTAATGTAAACGAGTAGGGGTGTATGGTTAACAGTACATTTTTATTAAACCCGAAACACGTCACTAAGAGCTCTTCGTGGGGTACATTCTTAAGGGTAGTTAATATCTTTAATAAGTAACAGAGTTTTACTTGTTTTTACCCCTAGCGTCCGTAAATAGTACACTATTATTTGTTTATTTGCTAAATACAGTAAACACCTCATGTGTTACATTTTTACGATTACCCTTAGTCCCATTTAATGATTTTTAAGTTTAATATAACGTTTAGTTGTAAATATTACTCCCAGTGATACTAGATTACTGTTAATAGTTGGGGAATCTGTTAGTAATGTACTAAGTGATTTAATTATTATTAATTTGTTAAATTTTGAAGTGGGAACGAAGTTGACCCCCCATGTGAACACGATAAATTATTTATAATGATTAAACTTGGGTATGTATATATTGAACTTTATTTATTATTTATCCCACTCGCTAATTGTCTATTCGATTTTATAAACATCTGGTTGAACATTTATTTTTATGGCAAAGTACACTTATAATATAATAGGAGCATACTCGATTTGTAGCCGCTTGATGGCCTTGTAGAGGAGACGCTATAGTTTTCTATTTGGAGTTTGGTAGTGAACTGTCACATGAATTGTTGGATGTGAGGTTAAACTCCTGGCGCCCACTCACGAACATAACTTTTTCTACTACTCACCCCCTTCTTCACTGTTGTTATTCGGCATCCAACATTGGATTCATATAAATCCCACCTCGGTGCTTAGGCACAGAAAGTAGGTAGCAAAATTTAAATAAACGATATATACCTTTTTACATATTTAGATAGAGAGAAAAAAGCTCAATACTTTGCGAAAATCGCATTTGGATAACTCTTTTCAAACCGCAGATTTTAGCAAAAATATAAATAAAACGTAGAAACGTAACACATTTAATGACCCAGCATTTTCTACTAGATCCGTTTTTTTTTAGGTATAAATCAAATTTATAAATTTCTGCAAAACTTAATGCCCAACCATGATTTTTACATATTTTAAATAATCGAACGATATTAGATAAGAATGCATAATTACTTATGAGTAGGTATAATAATCCATTGAGCGTAGACTATTTTTACAAAGGATCATTTGACCTTCAGAACAGTTACTTATTTAATTGTATAAGACTGGAGCACAAAAAAAGGTCCTATAAGAAAAACCAGAAGCGCCAAGAATCCAGAAGAAAATTTTCCGCTCAGTATTTGGTGAATGTTAACGGCGAGGATGTTAAAGTCTGTAAAGTGGAATTTGTGAGTATTCATGGCCGTCAAAAATCACGTGAAAGGATTAATAATCTTGTCAAAATGAAATCCGTTGCTGTTGTACCCAGTCAAGATGGCTGCGGTAAACATAAGAACAGACCAAATAAAATTAGTGATGACCAGGTAAATTCGGTGAAAACTCATATCGAAATGATTTCTAAATACCAATGCCACTATAGCAGGAGTAATAATTTAAACAAAACCTATTTAAATTGCAATATGACTATTTCTGGCTTATATAATGACTATTATGTACCATGGTGTGAAAAAGAAAATATTCCACCTGTTAAAGAAAGCACTTATAAAAAAAAATGTACCTATATAGTATAGAATTCAAGTTACCCAAGTCAGATACTTGTAAAACGTGCGACCAGATGAAGATAAAAATTGATACTTTGAAGCAAAACAACAATGCACAAGAAGTACAAGAACTAACCAGAACACTAGAGGTTCATAAGATCAGAGCTAAAGACTTGCTTAAATTGGAAGTAGATAGCTCGAAACGTGTTAAAAATAAGTTAGTAATATCATTCGACTTGCAGCAGGCCATGCCAATACCAAAATTAACAACAGGACCTGCGTTCTATTGCCGCAAAATCTGGCTCTATAATCTCAGAGTGCATGATTGTACGAATGAGAGGGGTTAAATGTATTTATTGACAGAAGACCAAGCTTAACGAGGTGCTGACGAAATTATAGTTTTTACGGACAACTGTCCAGGCCAAAATAAAAATGGGCAAATGATTTCTTTTTGGCTTCCAATTGATTGAAGAAAAAAAAATTTAAACAAATTACACAGTATTTTTTGGTGAGCGATCACACTCATTTGCCTTCTGACAGGGATTTTTCAAAAATCTAAAAGACATGCTCCTGTAATTTATTCACCAGAAAGTTGGCACCAAGTCATCCAAGTAAATAAAAAATCCATTTGTCGTTACTTCAATGACCCAAGACGACTTTTTTTCTTTCGAGTCCTTGTTGCATAATATTAATTTAAAATAAAGACATTTTTTTAAATTTTCCTTCCGATATTGATCAAAGACAGAAATGGTGCCAGATTTTAAACATTCCGCTTACAACTAATCATAAATTATGTGAGGATCACTTTGATACAAAATCGTTTACAAACACAAATCGTTTAAGACTGCTTAGATTTGATTTGCTTTTAGTACCCTCAAAACCAGAGACACCAAATATAGCAGTACTTAGTAATATTGTTGACACACCTCCAAACAGATTACCTGTGAAGAGAAAGTATAGTATAGATCAAAATTTCAATGATAGTCATTCATCAAATGAATTTAAATTATTACCTAAGAAACAACGCTTAGGTAGTGGATTTTTGAATAAAATTAATGAAACTCGAGTTAATAGTTTATCTCCTAGAAAGAAAAAACTTTATTTTTTAATAGAATACAGAAAAGTCAAATATGCAAATTAAAAAAGGCCCTAATTAATTCAAAACGTAACACTAAAAATGCAGTCAAAATTTCAGAATCAAAGATATTTCAACAATTTAACTCGAAGCTCGATCCAGAAGGCATAAGATTTTTAAACAGTGCTACATCTAATTCAAAAAAGATTAAACCTTCTTGGTCAATATCAGATAAAAGCTTCTCACTAGCTTTATATAAGAAGGGCCCACAAGCTTATAATTTTTTAAAGCGTTTTATCTCTCTACCTAGTAAATCCACTTTACAGTCACTTTGGAGATCAGTTCCATTTGAAACGAGCATTAATAAATCAATTTTTAACAGGCTTAAAGAAAGGATTGCTAAAATGGAGCAAATTGACAGAAACTGTGTCTTATTATTTGACGAAATAGCTCTTACAGAACAACTGACTTTGGTAACAATTTAGAAAGAAAATTACAAACAGCTGACCACGCATTGGTATTTGTAATAAATGGCTTACGAAAGGCTTGGAAGCAGCCAGTGACTTATTATTTCACTAAAGATCAGGTTAAAAGTAACGATTTGAATATCATTAGTGTAAAAGTAATTTTAGAGTTACGAAAAGTAGGATTAAATGTAATGGCAACTGTTTGTGATCTGGGGAATACGAATCGTACTGCACTGAAACAATTACGAGCAGAAAATAATAAACCTGGTCCTTATTTTTTTGTCAATGGAAAAAGGATAATTACCTTGTACGATCCTCCCCATCTTTTGAAATGTACCAGAAATACCTTATTTAATTATGATATTTATTTTGATAATAATTCTAAATGTGCTAAATTTAATTATATTAAGCAAGCTTCTTGATAAAACTAAAAAATTTCAAGCATTACATAAAGTTAGAGAATCTTTTTTGGATATTAATAGAAATGAAGGTTTCAGCTGCAGCAAAAGTAATGAGCCACACCATGGCTGCTGCCATCGAAAGTCTAATAGTACCTCATAAATTACCATCTGAAGCTATCTACACTGCTGAATTTATTGAGGACATTGCTAAGCTCTTTGACAGCCTTAACAGGTTGACTGCCGATTACTCCGATCGGAGTGCACTGGCATCAATCGGCGACGCCCACTACTCCGATCGGAGTGATGTGTTTGCTCAATTTGTAAGTACCAATGTGCAATTGGTGTTAGCGAGAGAATGTTGCAGCTGGCCTATCGTCCTTCAAAAAGCATCTGTCAAGCACTTGTCATAGTTGGTTACGGGTTTTATAGTTTTTGTGTCTCTGAACATGGATGCCAAACCAGGACCTTCTGGACTGGGGAAAAAAAGGGTGATAATTCGAAAAAACTCACAGATGAAGAACTATTGAAGTGTTTAGACGATAGAAGTGGAGACGAATATTTGCCGGACTCCGAAGATGAAAATTATTCCTCCGAATCAGAGACAGAAAGTGATTCAGATGCACATGATGATGAGCAGTCGTCAGGAAATCGTCCGGCTTCGCCTGCAAATACCGGCCCAGCTCCGACTAATACACAAGTAAATTTCCAGTGGACAAAAACTGGTGCATTGAAACAATTCACGTTCAAGAAAAATCAGCAGCTTTTAGTACCGGTTCCGGGCAGAGGCAGACCTATAGATTTTTTTAACCTTATTGACGACACTTTTTTATCGCAGATTGTAGAACAGACAAATGATTATGCTGTTCAAGTTTTTCTCAGCATTGAAACATATTCAAAGTCACGTATCACAAATTGGAAGCACCTGACGGTTCCAGAATTGAAAATTTTCATAGGTCTGCTCCTTCATACAGGTACTATTCAACTAACACGAGTAAATGACTACTGGAAAACGGACCCGCTCTTCAATATACCAATTTTCCGGAAGCATATGTCAAGAAATAGATTTCTTCTCATCTTGAGATATCTACATTTTACATCTGCCAACACTAGAGCTGACGATCGTTTAGGCAAAATAAGATCTGTGGTTGACTTTTTCAACACGAAGATGAACAGTCTCTATTACCCGGGAAAAGAATTGTCGTTAGACGAATCTATGGTGCTGTGGCGGGGGCGTTTACTGTTCAAACAATATATACAAAATAAACGCCACAAGTACGGGATTAAGCTTTACATGCTTACAGAACCTGATGGATTGGTGCTGAAATTCCGCGTGTATCAAGGTTCATCAGATGAATATAGCGGAACTGGACATACAACCAAAGTAGTTATGCATTTACTTGAAGAAAAGTTAGGTCAAGGACACGCAGTATACCTCGACAACTTTTACAACAGTGTTGACTTAGCTACAAGGCTGCTGGAAAATGACACCTATTGCACCGGAACCCTAAGAAGTGACCGTAAGCACAACCCACAAGACGTCATGAAGGCGAAATTGAAACGAGGAGAAAACGAATCAAGGTTCTCTAATGGAATTCATATTGGAAAATGGAAGGACAAACGCGACGTCAATTATATAAGCACTGAATTTGGGAATGAAACTGGCATTTTCAAGAATAAGAGGGGAAAAGAAACTGAGAAACCTAAAGCCATTCTAAATTATAATAATTATATGTCAGGAATTGATCGCCAGGATCAAATGTTGTCGTACTATCCTTGCAATAGGAAAACGATAAGGTGGTACAAAAAACTTTTCATTCATGTTCTGCAAATGAGTTTGACCAATGCACACTATCTACATAGAAAGTACTCTGGTGGTCATCGCCTTCGTTTTTATGACTTTCGACTGGAGGTAATTGGAGATCTGTTAGGCCCAAGTGATGATGTACTTGTCCATCCTCCTAATCAAAAAAAGAATCCGAACGCTAGACATTGTCTTTCAAAAATTGAAAAAACCATGAATGAACTAAAGAAAGGGCGTACTGAATCCAAAAGAGTGTCTAGGAAGGAATGCAGAACCTGTAGGAAAAACAAAATAAGGAAGCAGACAACGTTTGAATGCAAAGAATGCCCTGGGAATCCTGGATTTTGTGTAAAGTGCTTTGAAGACTTTCATAAAAAAATGTAGTTTTTGACAGTAGGTTATTTCTTACAAATTTTTTTTGCTATGAGCAAACTTGTTTGTTTTTTTTTCAGTTTCTTGGTTATTTGTCTTGTAATCAAGCACGTGATTTTCTTTTTTAGGTATAATATCTTGTTTAGTTTTTGGGTGATATTCCTTATTTTTTTGCTTTGAGAAAAATTATTTATTTTGTTTTGATTTTCTATGATTATTACCCCTAAACCAAATATGTTTTTTTTTATAAATATATACCCACCGTTATCTCATTATCAGTTTAGTTCTTTTGTGTTTCTTATATACAAATAAAAGTATTTTCAATAATTAGAGTGTGTTTTCTTTGTAATATTGCTAAACTTTATAGCGACTCCGATCGGAGTGTTCGGCATCCAGTGAAAATATTAATGTCTGACGCCGACCACTCCGATTGGAGTATTTTTTTTTTCGCTAATTTGAGGCAAAAAAAAATTAAAAAGTTAATGAAACTATAATTTACATGATTTATGGCATAAATAAAGGCAAATAAACAAATAAAACTAAACGGCGTCTGAGAGTGTCTCAAAAATATGAGCGGCAGTCAACCTGTTAATGGTAATAACCCAAGTGTCATTAGTGGTAAATTTCTTAGGCAGTGTGCTTCAAGGAGATCTAAAAATCTAGAATTTTGAAATTCTATATTACCAAAAATAGAATCTTGGTAATTTCTACCAAAAAAATGGTAAACAGAACGCGTGCTTTAAACCAAGATCCAGTTGAAGCTATGTTTGGCTTAATTCGGCAGTATGATGCTGCCAATACTTCTCCAAATTGTTTGTATGTATGTAATATAAGTAATGGTAGCGACGAAAATAGATTAGATTTACTGTTAAGACTATTATTAGAAGAAATGTAATTTTCACCATTATTTACAATATTGGTTCCGTTATACCGTAATTCGGCTACAGTTTTTCGAGATTCATTGCGATATTGCTGAATATCTCTGTGTCCCGTCCCCACGGTAGAGTTTTCGCGGTGCTTAGTATTATAAACCTTCTCTCATCGTCGTAAGATAATGCAACTTTGTTTTTCATTTCAGTACGTATATCATGTAACGTACTTCTGGGTGTATATATATAAATAAATTACCCCCACCTTCTACAATTTTTTTGTAATCCGTCATATTTAAGCTGTTTTGTATTACACATTTTTTACGCCGTTAGCGTTTTGGTCTCTTTCATCTGATCTAATA